ACTACTACTTCTTCTTCTTCTTCGTACTGTCCCTGCTCCAGTCGTTTATTATTGCGGCCCCCTTCCATAACCAGAAACACAAAAAATGGTTGTGTGGATTCTTTACTGTCAGTTGAACATTAAGTTGAGCTGCAGGCAGGTATCAGACTTTTGGGGTTCTGGCGTCAGGGCTTCGTTGTAAGTTGTAAACATAGAAGCGGCTGTCAAAATTACTGTTATTTCGGTGGGTCCCTGGTATAATGCGGACCCTTATATGTCTAGAGTACCCCAGAAAGCGGCTACAGTTTCAACAATGCCCTGTGGCACCCCATGTTCTGCCAGTGTCCGCCCTGCCTCCCAATTATCATCTACATAGGAGCCGTTGGCCTCGATCGCCTCCTGAAAATGACTGTTGTGACAAGATCTGCACACTGACCATGTTAACTACATTTGAGGTGCAACCATTGCTATGATTGCACAAGACCTCGTGGTGTTGCATCTATCTGTCATACTGGTCTGCAAAGATGCAACCTCCTCCTGGTCGGATCGCTTTCGACGCTCCTGATGTTCGCATTGACAACACATCAGCGCTTGGCTTGAGTCCAAGAAGCAGCGCAGCCCATCTGACTACGAGCAGATGCCCGCTGATTTTTTTTGGCCAAGTCTCACTTTTGAGCTTCTGTTTCTTCCCCTTGTCAGCCTTCTTCCGCCGCCTTTCCTCTGACTTTGCTCGTCGGGCCAACTTACGAACAACCTATGCAAGACAAAGGGCGGTCATGGAGACATGATCGCACAGCTGTGCGAGGGGGGAAATGTCGCTAGGCTCGTCCAACTCTTAAGCACACGACACGCTGTTCAAGCTTTCCGCTTGCCTGTGTTTGACAACTCTAATGCAACATTATGTACGCAAGTACATTTTGGCTACTTGCACGGGCTGGCCCACGCCAGATCGTCTTATGAAGATCAATGCTCGACATCGTGGTCTGGCACGACAACCTTGGCACTACCTGTATCCATCCAAGTCCCCTGCCTTTTCCATTCGCTTGAATGCTTTGTGCTTTGCTTTGCGCCACTTTGCGGCCTGGTAGGCTTGCAAATGATGAGACCGCACATGGCTTGCAGCATCGAAGCCGTCCATGAGGACCACACTGCTTTCTTCTCATGCCTCCTGCCAGCTCACAAGCATTATTACGGACGCTTCTGATTACCCTCAGTCCTGGTAGCCTCTCGCTGCCGCTGGACCTTTTGCGTTCGCAGCATTTCGCAGCGACAAAAAGCAGCCGAAGCATACCTCTCTGTCCGAGCCTGCTTCAGCATGAGACGTGCCGCTTTCCGCACGCTCTTGTCGTCCGCCTGCTCAGCTGCAGCTTCAGGCTGTGCATCCTAAATATCTAAAACTCTATTTCATAATCTAGCGTTACGCAATGTCAAACAAACTGAATGGAACCGCCGCGCCACACCTCCATGAATCCTGATGTGCTCGGCGCTTCCACTGCCTGTTCATGCACGATGTGGCAGGCGGACGAATGCCTGAGACCCCTACCTCGCATTTCACAGGAAGCACAAAGTGCGCGTGCGCGTCAGGGTAACCCTCGTGCTCTGTCATGTCCTCCTGCAGCATGACAAGCCGCACCCAACCTTGCACAAAGTTCTGCATTTCTGCTCCTCTTTTGCAGCGAGAGGAAATGGCGTCTCAGGCGTGTGAGGCTGCGGCACGTCCTGAGACTCAGAGCACAGTGCGACTGCCAAACGTAAGGGGCAAGGGGCCCGTGCCTGAGCCACAGCCTGAGCGCTGTGTGCAGCGAGGGTGAGCGGGGTCAGCGGCAACAGTGCAGTCAAAGATGTTGACGGTGCAGGGATCTCCTCGCAAGCTTGCACCTGGGCCTGGGTTTTCAATCTCAGTTCTGTCCTCCAAGGGCTCCATCTTCGGCTGGATTGCTGCGGATGCTTCCACTGCCTCAGCAAACTTGTGCTACGAGTGGTCTTCTGATGCTCTTCAAATGGGCTTTTCAGTCGTTTACCTTATCATATCGTTCCTGACCTTTTCCTGCATTTACCTTTCTGTTCAGATCTCGGCAGTAGCCTGAGGCCGCTACATCCTCAAAGACATGCAGACGGAGCGATCGCTGTGGAGCTGTGGGAGCAAGCCTGCCACTCTGGAACATCTTTGGCTGTTTACAAGGACCCGGTCAGTTTCACAGGGACCCGGGCAACTTCTGTTGAGCCTGGCAGCGCTTGCTCGCTTTATGTCGCTTTCGCTTCCCAATTGCCCTAAAGGCTTCATGCTGATTGGCCTGCATTTGTCCGTGCAAAATGACCTCAACATTCAAAATGCCTGTGAAGCTTTTGGACTGGCTTGCCTAGACCCCTGACGTGTGGCAGGCGAGGGTCACTTGGCATCGAAATCAAAGCTGAGGCTGGGACAAGCTCTGGGAAGGTTGCCGCAGTCAAAGGGCGAGTGGAGCCCTGCCAAAAGAAGTCCAAGCGGAGCTTGTCCTGTACTTGCATTTCAGCACGCAACATGCAAAACCCAAACAAAGAAAGAGCAGTGTCCTCGTCCTCAGGAGACAGGCGTTCTGCAAATATGCGCCTTGGACAGCCACAGGATGAAGCATACTCTCGTGACTCACACACGCCGCACACCGAACACCCAAAGGGTCCAGCAAGCAGGCCGCATGTACCTTCCATGGCTGAGCAAGGATCACAAAAACAGTCCAAGCACGGCCAACTCTGAAAAGAGAGTGCGTGGGTGAGCCCGCATATTCTGGCCTTTCCTACCATGTGAGTTCTGACCCGTTGCACTTGCACTCCGAAAGATTGGACACCTGATGTAGGCCAGTCTTTCTCGAGGTATACTTCAACACCACTCCGCAAGAAAAGATCCCCTATGACTGCCTCCTCAATACAAAGCCCATGCAAATCACATTTGCTGCCTGGTCCCTTGTAAGCTCCGGCACCCTGACGCGGCGAACCTTGCCGAAGGATCACAAGGAAGGCATCAAAGCCACTTCTCAGATCCATGCACCGGCTGCAGAGCTCCAAAGCATCGAGGTCAGCAATCGCGAGCACCCGCAAGAGCTTGACAGCGTTGGCTCAAGGCCCTTGCATCGTCACCCCAGCAGAATTTCAAGAGGACCGCCATTTCCTCTGCGGGCAAGGTCTGAAAACACCGGCCTATGTTCATCTTAGGAAGCCCTAAATGGCAAGATGGCTAATCTATACTGCTACCAGCACGTCCTCCGCGGCAGATGCGAAGGCGTCAAGCCATCAGGGTGGATCTGCATATTCTGAGGGGCAACGCTGCCAAAACAGAGAGGCCAAAACCGAGAGATCATTCCTCTGAAGCCACTGTTTCCCCACCAAGACAATGCCTAGCCTCCCTTTCAGCAATGTTCTCGCAGCATGTCTTGGTCTTGGAATCAGTCGGTAACTTTGCGGATGATTCCCGTGCAGCGCAGTTTCTTTGGCCATCTTGTGCAGGATGCAAGATCGGCTCCGCGGCTGTCATTAATTCGGTGGCCCACCACCCCATTATTTAGAGTGGTGGCAGGTGGTGCTTGGAACTGGTCTCAATCATGCTTATGAGAAAGTGTTCACGCGAACTTATCAGATGCATCATGGGGGAAGAGTTCCCAGCTTCAAATACCCATCGACCACATCTCCTACGACTTTATGCACAGAGGTTGAAAGGCCACTGTGAACAGCAACATGCAAGCTGTCAGAGCCGGCATCTGTCTTGTCCCGACTCAGAGCAGAAGCTAAAAACAGTAGTCCTTAGAGTAGCAGGCAACCTGGATCGGTTTCAGGCAACCTGCACGGTGTGCTTGCTAGAAATTGCAGCCAGCAGTCGCAATGCCCAAAGGAATGAAGTTCAGTGCCGAGAGCCTGCATAGACTCAAGGATGAAGGCACGTCTCTCTCTGGCATCTCTGGCACCACTCTCTGGCGGCCCTTTCGCTCATCAGCCGGGGCACAGGGACCAGCCCAGGCGGAGGCCAAAGAGGGTCAGGGGCTTCACTTTGCCTTCAAAGTCCAGCTCCTCACCTCGTAAGCAGCTCTGGGTTATCCCTGACTCAGCAGGCCTTTGTGCTTCTGAGCTTTGCCTTAGTTAGTTATGCAAAAAAAATGTGCTCTCACGTTACAATCGAGCTGCAAAGAGCACTGATGAGCTCAGAGCACTCGACTAGCGTCGATGCTTCTGGATGAAGCGGTCGCAAGCTTTCGCAGTGCCTTGCAATGCTACCAGGGGCATGTCACATCTGAGACTTTTGCAACGGCAACAACCCCGAGACTTGACTCCTTGAGTCATGCGGTACTTGCCGCGGGCCAGGCCAAGGCACTTTGTCTTCTTCGATTGCTCCAAACTCATAGCAAGCATCAGGCTGCGCTGGCGAAAGAGTAGGTACACGTGCCGTTCCTGGCATTTGTCACGGAGTCATCCAGCATGCTTTGCGATGAACCTCTCCGCAAAAATTTCATGCTGCCCTGGAACGTATGAAGCGTTCACCTTGCAAAGTTCAAAAACAAGACATGTGTCAGCCGCATGGTCATATGGGCTGCCTATGAAAGATTGCCCGCCTCATCATTACCCGTGATAGTTGATCACCGCAAGTGGGAGGCAGCTACAGAAGGAAACAACATGCCCACCTCATTGCCCAAGAAGACCATGAGGACGATGCCGCAGATCAGAAGCGTGCAAATGCCAGCAGACACCGTCATCGAGGTCACGCTCACGTCACTGAACTCTGTGTACCCCTTGGCTAGGCAGGCATCGTACCAAACACTAGTGCTATCTACACTGGCAATTGTAAGGGGGAGTGTTTCCTAGTTTTGCCTTGGGTTACCTTGCCCCTTGGTGCAGTTGCCAGGCTAGCTTTGCGAGTCAATTAGGGAACAATACAACTCTACCTGAAATCTGTGTGCCTTTTCCGTCAAGACAATCCTTGCACCACCCACTCCAAGCCAAAGTTCCTGAGAGCCCTGAAATGCTTTTGGAATGATTCCCGGAAAGCTTCCCGCAAATCAGCCCTTAGGAGTAGCATTAGGCAATCAGGAGAAAACATGCGCATGCAGCCAGCACGTCTGCGCGGCCTGCGAAACAAAGTTTAGAAAGTCCTCCTGGACAAGCCAAACTAAATGAGTCCCCGGAAGAAGAAACCTTCATCACTGTGCAGGATGGCTTAAGAAAGATAAGAAGCCGGTAACAGCATGCCCGTGAGCAGGTCTCCGACGACAAGCAGCATCAGGAAGAGAAACTGGGCCTTGGCATCGGAAGGCGGCGTGGTAGGGGAGGCAGATTTGCAGGTGACGCAGCATGAGCGCCGCGGAGAAACTCTAGCCGAGATGCTGTGAAGGCCCGAATGCGAACGTGGTAGAACTTCCCCCACTCATTGCAAAGTTGTCTAAGCTTCCGCCAACCCACCAGTGTCTTAACGTCCTTGGTCTGGACCGGCCACCGTGCGGCTAGCAAAACGCTGCAGAGAATCGTGAGTAAGCAGTATACCTTAAACACACCTGCTTCTTGTAAACTTGTTCGGGTTGCAGGCCGTGAGTCGCTCAGATCTAGGATTGGCAGCATATCCACCTGCGGTCAGCAACATGCTGAGCTGTTTTCTTAGCTCCCTATACTCCGCCTCTGCTGGGCAATGTCTGCGGAACTCGCGCTGCACAGATAGCATGGCGGCACAGCTGCGCATCAGAGATCGCCTCCTTGGGATTCACACGTGCTAGCTAGCAGCTAGTAGCTGAGTATGGAGCAGCTCAAGATTTGCATCTGTCCTCCATATGTCAATTGCACCTGTGGCCATGAAGATGGACGAGGAAAGAAAGCCTGAATCGACAGGTGATAAATTGCAAAGCCACCACGGGCAATCAATTGCTTGGCAACATCCGAAGGCCGCTGGGAGCATGCCAATGATCGCAATGTGGGCTCCGACGCCTGTACTGGCACAGTTGTGATCGCATCTTGCATCTTGAGCCACAAGGCATGTCAACTTCGGGCCCGGCTTGTCCCAAATATGCCAACCCATCCATTGCCGCCAGTCTTCAGACCACGAAGGACGGAGGGCAGGAGAACCAGGCAAGTGGTGAACAAGACCAACCTCTAGAGAACTGTCGCAGATTGGAGTTGATTCTACTCTCATGCGTCCGACAAAATGCAACAATACAAACGTAAAAGCCAATAATTGAAGGTAGTACTGAGTACTGCACTGCCAAAGGCACTGGGGAACGCAAAATGACCGCTGATACCACACGCGGTCATTTTGCCTATGGGATTGCCAAGAAACGGTCGGAAGAGCGACGGTATGACAGCACGTTCACTGCGCATGACTCCACGGAGCATGTACAGGAACCTGACAGGCTTGCAGCCATGCAGGGAAGGACCAACTATGTGAAATGCAGGTCCCAGTAGCAAATCTTGAATTGGCACTTCTTGCCCCGAAGCTGCCGCCCTGAAAATGTCAGTGTCATGGTCCTGCGAGCGTGCCCAGCATTGACCATCTTTCGAGTAGCCCGTGTATCCGGGCTGCACACAGGTTCAACATGGTTCAACGCGGTTCTTGGTTATGTCGCAACAGGTTCAGTGCTGCTTTTCTTCTACAGGCGCTCGAGTTCTCAAGTATTACCTCACATGACCTGATAGGCATATATGTCACAGACTCTCCAGCCGGCCTTGTGCTCGTCAATGAGGCCTGGCTGTGGGATGGTGCTGTCAGGAGGCAACGGACCGCTTGACCTGACTGCTGTCCATGGTCATCTCTGCTGCGTCACCCACCAGCACTACTGGCAAAGTTTGCCAACGGACACTCAGCACTGCACGAGACCAGGCCAGCCCCTGAAGAAAAGCTAGCAACAAGTTTCAAGTGTAGCCTCCACATGCTTCAACACTGTGAGGGCGCGAAAAGGAAAACCAGCCATTGACGCATCACATAGCAAGCAAACAAGCCAGCAAGCAAGCAAGCAAGCCGGCGAGCAAGCAAGCAAGCAAGCAAGCAAGCAAGCAAGCAAGCAAGCAAGCAAGCAAGCAAGCAAGCAAGCAGGGCACTCGTCTTTGGCAGCCCATTGATCATGCTGCAGCCAAAGCCGCTGATCTGACCAAGGTCTGTCCTCAGTCCAATTGGAAATTTGTACATGGGGCCAAGCAGGACTGAGGGCTATCGACCTTTTAGTGGGGCTCTCCGGGCAAGTGGCACCGGTCGCGTGCTCCTGTTTGGCGCGGCTTCAGTGGGGGATCCCTCCTCCTCGTCACCAAAACACCTCAAGCTGCAAAAGCCGCACTTGATCCTCTGCCATCTCAAAGCTGCAATCAACCCTTGCCCGTCGAGTGGCAAGATTTGCTGCTGCTCGGCCTTCCGAAGCCGGCTCTTCTCTCGCAGTATTCGCCCCGTGGGTGCCTTACTACTGCAGGCTCAGGCATTTGACGCGGACCCTGGCCCTGAAGCAAGCTTCTTGTGATCTAATTGCTCATTGCTTTGCTGCCTTTACTGTGACACTATGATTGCTACTGCAGCGCGTTAACTGCGAGCTTGGCATCGAAGAGATCAAGCAGGCATGCAAAATCTGGCAGCATCATTTTGACTTCTCAGAACTGTTTGTGTCTTGTATCTGGCGAAGCTTGGAAACACTTGATGCAGCAGCGGCAGGCTCCAAGTACACCAACACATCTCGACTAGGAGTGCCACATGACACATCATAACACCCAGAAAGTCTAAACTACCGGTGCATGTCAGGCTGTGGTAGTCTCCAGATTTTTACACCTGCGAATTTGGAGCATGCAGCCAAAGCTATCTTACGTGGACAGCGTTCCTCTGCGTTCCTGACATGGCCCAGAAGTTCCATGTCTTTTGTCCGGAATCACGACAAATGCCGGCACATTGATCAGTGTCTGTGCAACTTCATCCGAAGAATGCGCGTGTATAACGCAACGCTACGACCGATACATGCAGTCGCTGGGCACAATCTTCTGATGCAAGTATGCCTATCCATGGCCGAAGCTGCATACAAGGAAAATTGGCTTTCTGCAGTTTCACAGCCAAGTCAGAACACACAAGTTGCTTGATCGATTTCTACATACTGCCATCGCTAGCACGGCTCTGCCTATTCCCACTCCCACTGCTACCAGACTTGCCGCGCTCGGGCCCCGGCATAGAACATAGTCTTGCTGGTGATATCCACACGCTCCCGCAGGACGAAAAGCTCGCGCTCCGAACGTGGCCAAGGCAGGAACTTCAGGAGCGTCCCGCCTCACAAGAACAACACACATCGTAGGAGAAGACGAGGCTACTGCTACTACGGATGATGGCTGTGCTGGCGGTTTCATGGTCAGGGTTACGGTGGAGTTGGTGGCGGTGGCGGTGGCGGCGGTGGCAGTTGTGATTGTCATGGATTCATGGTTATCAATATGTTTGCGGTGATGGAGGCGTTGCCTAAGTACTGTAATAGCTACAACAGAATTCTTACTCGAAATTGCAATATCATGCATGGTTCCATTTTCCTCGAATCCTGGGGCACCCAACGTCTCCAAACAAATGCTTCTGAAACGAAGTCGCGCAATGTAGCTTCGAAATGCTCCAATCTCATGTATGTGAACTGCGCAAAAGGACCACACCTTTCACGCGGTTGGGAAACTCCCTCAGACTCGCTTCTACGACAGTTTCTACAGCGTAATGTCCCACGCAACATACGTCCTCCATAATTCCCAACAATCCCAGAAAGGATTGCGGCTCAGAAGCTCCGCTGCTTGCGCGTCCCGACGACTGTAACCTGGGGCTTTTCTGTTTAGGGAAGGTTTGGTTGTCTCTTCTAATGCACTTTGCGACCTGCATACCTCCGGGCACCGCAGGGTAAGTTTGCTCGAGAGTGAGGAAACAGAAGATCCGCGAGCCTACCAATACCCATCGGCTGTCACTTCATCGATTGAGCAAGAGTGGAAGAAAATCTGCGCAGGACATTGCGGTTTCCGATCCCTGGTCTCAAATGGATGGCCTACGGCAATCCTGACGCCCAACGCGACGTCTATCTGTCCATCGCAGAGAACTTTACACTTCTCGGGAATGCAACCTCGCATCATGTCTAGCGTCCCAGTCCATATCCCCGAAGTAGATGCAAACGATCACACAAAGTCGCAATGGCAAATGTTCATGGTGAAGAAGTGCAGCTAGAAGAGTCTTGCAGATACGGCAGGCATGGCGGCAGGGCGGTCATCTCTGGCACAAACAGATCACTTACAATTTAGGGACCCTCTAGACCTACGATTTCAACAATATCCACCTGGGCTTTGAGAGTAAAGTATTGCAGTCTAACTTTACAAGCTTCACACAATGAACCTCAAAGTGGGTTCAGCTGCTCCTACAGTCTCTGGCAAAGCACAAGCCAGGTCTCTCACTCCCATCACAAGCGACCAAGAAGCAAATGCCACCTCTGCTTGCAGATCGAAGTTTTCTGCAGGGATGCGAAGCCAGCCAGTGAGCAAATTCATGTACCTGGATTCCGCACTAAGCCCAATGAACAGGCCACAGCTAACCAACTTGACGAGAGTACAAGAACGCAGAAAAGGCCAGGTTGCGATCTGTACTTTAAATCAATATCTATTGTGTTCATCTGATTCCAGGTCGGCGTGGATGTGTATGCGTATTTGGTAGCCACCGGCATGTTCCTTGCCAGGAATGGCTGTCCGCTAGCAGAGTGTCTTATGCGCTTGGTGTTCGCCTGACATTCCACGTCGCCGGACAGCCCAGGCACTATCACTAGACATCCCCTAAAAATCACGGCAATCCAATTCAGACCTGTATCCGCATCAGCAGACCTATCATTGCCAGCTTCTTCTCAATGAGCGTGACTTCAGAATACTCGTCGAAGAAAAACATGGCAATGAGAGATGCGAAAAGGCATGCCCACGTAAAGAACTGGAAGAAGGTAGCTCTGTCAAACCCTCAGCAGTGCACAGCAAACTCGTCTGATCTCGCTACATCATAGGAAACGTGCCGCCGTGCGGCTTGCAAGTATCCAAAAGCCTCTGTTCTTCAGACCAGTCTTCCCACCATAGAGCGGCCACAGCAACGGGTAGGATAGCGGACCCAGGATGCTATAGAGCAACTGCCCAGAAAGCTCCTGGGCCCCATTGAAAAGTCTACTGCGAGGCCAACAGCATTTCGACCTATGTAAAACTAAATTTAAGCTTTCCCAAAAATTGTGGCTTCTGACTGGAGATCAAGACTCAATGAAGAAGACTCGGTAGTGAAACACCTCCGACACTTCAGTGACCCAGCTGTTCAAATCCTTGTGAAAATCGGTGGCAGACTCGTGCAGCTCCACCTCCTGTCATAATCATTAGCTCTGCCCCCTGCAGACAAGACATCTGATCACACGATTCCTTCCGAGATCAAGTTAAACACACATAGCCCACATGACTGGGAGCGCGAAACATCCCTGATGGCAGTCTGATGAAGGGTAAGCTGGCTGCTTGATCCGGACAACGAAACCCCTCATACAAGTTGCACGAGTCCAAAACGTGGAGGCGCCTCGTGACAAAACGCATCAGACGCATGCACAGGAGCCATCGGATCTTCCGCCGGCTCCGGCACGTCTTTGCCACGATCATCTGCAAAGCTAGTGGCTGTGGCACTATGGCATTGGATTCTTGTCTTCCAGCCTGAAGGCATGCTAGGGGAGTGCGGGACCTCGACGACACCAATCTCCCCCGAGCTTATCAGCCCCTGCCAAGACTCACAGCAAGGAACAGCTGCGACTGACTTCATCGCCTCCATGGCTTGGAGCTCGCCACTGGGATCTTCAGCGCAAATGCACTGCCCACAACCTGCACGAGATTGAGAACAGGCCCACAGGGCACCAAAATCTGCGTCCACTTGTGGCGGACAGCGCACGTATGACCAAGGCCTCCGGGAAACGGCAGGGAATCGTGGACATATCCCATCGCCGGGAAGTCATGGAGAGAGAGAGAGGAGATACACTCCAGACACAATGATGCTTTCCAGCAATCCTTGTTGCTCCGGTTTCATGACACAAGGCCAAGATGCAAGCAAAAAGATCCTTGGCATTTCTTGCGATCAACGTCGTGTCAACAGCCATGTGACTTTGTGACTCATGTTTCATGTGTACTGCTTATGGCTGCGGATGTTGTCTGCACTGTGAATTCAACAGCTACGAGAGTATGCGACCTCATGCGAGACACGCGCTGCTGAAGTTCATACCGAAAACTAATACTACATTGCAGCTACAACCTCGCGGACGATCATATGCCTAGCCAGACCGGCATAAAGAAGCATTCTGCATGCGTAGCCACATTTTGGATCCGCGACGTGCCCGCCCAGATGAACCGAGCTGAGGCTTTGCCAGCTCCGGGTCACAGCGGGAGCCTTGTCTCGCTGGCAGCAGAGGCATCGTCGTGGCCTTTACACCTCTTCTTCGCTCTGACAATTTCCAATCACAGCTCGTCATCACAGCAGACAAAGAGCGGCACCTTGACAGCGGACACAGCCGACACAGCCACATTCAGATGAACAGAACCTCACAATTACCCAAGGGCCCGCGCACAAACTATTGTCCCCCAACCTGAGCACAAAGCCAGCATACAATGAATGTCATACAGCAGCGGTTGCTGACAAGAAGCCAAGAACTGTTGGAACACCGATGAGGAAGTAGATCAGTACAGACTTCCTAGGAAGCTCAAAGTATCACGAGGCCAGGCTGTACCAGGCTGAGCTCACTGAGCTCGTGACAGATGCAGTAAGACTGCAGAGAGCATGCACATGGCCGTGGTGAACGGCAATATCTGTGCCAAAGTCCGCAGTTGGCACCAGGTTGCCCGTTGTGGCCGGATCTCTGAGACCCCGGCACTCACGGAGACCATGACAAAGCGAAAGAAGCACACGACGCACTCGTCCTCGCTGTCATAGCCTGATTGAAGACTGACATTTTCAACCCTTTGAATATCTCCCACGGCACGCAGCCTGGCTTCAGCCTGGCTTGGAACAGCAACTGGTTTGCCACAGCACTTAGCAGGGTGAAGAGGCAGACCTGGCGCGGTCGCATGCGCTAGAGCGAGCTGAACACGCTGAGAAGATTCTCAGCCAACGGCCAAGAGGTTTGTGGAGTGAAGTGGATGCTGATCATCGCCTCTAAATCCCGGAAGAGGGCTTACTCACCCAGCAGTCTTCCAAAAAAACAGTGCGACCAGTTCTTGGGGTGAGACAGTGAGACGGATGGAATAAGCACATTTGACACCGGAGCCCATTCTCCGCATACCTTGCGACTCAACTTGTGGGGTCTCCTACACCCCGGCGCGCGACCCAATAAGATGCAGACCAGGCATACAGGTAGGCCGCAATGCACATCCTCAAGAATACTTCTGCCCTGTCAGCACTTGTCCCAAACTGCGAGGCCCAGATCAGTATAATAAGATCTGTGCTGTTGCGGGAAATCCTGCGCAAAAAACTTGAAGACAATCCTCGCGCAGAGTGGAGGCCATCAAGTTGCATCAAGGCGAAGAAAAGGCCAGCAGAGGCAAGGGCACTCGGCTCAGAAGCTTGCCCGTGTCAACCTGGATCGGTCGCGAAACTATGCAGCGGGGGTTTGAGATCAAGCGAGGCCCTTGCAAATAAGAAGAAGCGCCGCAGCACCTTGGCTATGCTGGATTGTGCGGCTAGTACCGAAGGTGACACTCAGGCTTCAACGACCCCAGCCAGGACAAGCTGGACCTGGCAGTGCTTGAGCCCAGAGGCTCAGGCTTTGAGCTCCAGGAATCCAAAAGGTTCTGAGGGCAGCGCTAGGAGAAAACAGCCAGTTGCACTTTCCGTAAAGGAGAGAACCTGTACGCGGATCAGCAGGACTGCTTCACCTACTGCCTACCGTCTGTCAAGACTGCTGCCAGCAGCTAGAACTCAGCCAGCATGAGAAATCCCTTGATTCAAGGGCACCCTGTGGTGTCTCCCCTGCTCGCGCTCACTGAAGTTCTGCCTTAGGCCACCACTGTGCCCACATGTGCTAGTTTGCTCTTGGGTTGATGAATATCGGAAGCGATACGTCATGGGAGCAGCAATGGAGGCAGAGAAGAGTTGCAGCATATGTGCGCAGCGACTTTGCCGGCTTTGCATTTTGTCAGCTCTCTCTTGGCAAACGACCAGCTGCCCTCGAAGCTGCACTGCTTCTGCTGGTGGATGTCCTGGCATCTACAGCGTTCTGAAATCAGCTGGTCTGGCTTACCACGGACTGCCTCAAGGTGGGCAATGCGAGAATCCACAACGAAGACGTCAATGCGCGTCTGTGCAGGGCCACGTATCAGAATCGAGCGTCAGCCATCTGCACCGCACGTCTTCTGAGGACATCGCTGAAATGGCCATGAAACCAAGAGGGCAGCTCAATCAACCACTTGGGGTCAGCTTGAGTGGCCCTGATACCAGGATGGCTTCACTGGCCTCGTCGGCGTACTTGGATTTGAGATTCACGAAGCCCTCCCATGCGGGCTCCTTGCAAGGTCATTGCCATCCCAGCCAATGCAGCCGTCTTCGGGAGGTCCTCTCTTCTTTCGGTGACGACCTGATACCTATCAAGCCAAGGCGCAACACAATAAGCTACTGAATGCGGTGCGAAGGGCTACATGGGGCTACCTGCTACCCCAGCCATGGCTCAGGGTAGGAGGAGAGGACGCCAAGGAGCCTCAGCTCAAGCGAGTTTGGCAAATGCTGCCTGGCTTGATTTGCCAGCGATCGAGGCGGCCACTTTTGCCAGCTGGATGGAGACTGACCTCTTCCAAGTTAAGCCGCAGTCATCATGTCAAGATGCCGCATAAAGCTGGCACCCTTAACTGACATAATTCTTTAAGCAAGCCACCTGCCATTGAGCGCTTGTATGCGGCTGCTGCGGCTGTATCTCAGGGCAAACTTCGGAACTATCATCTTCAGATTGCAGTGACCTCCATCGCGAGAAGCATTCGCAGCAAGTGCACTTTTCGCCAAGGCGCGCCAACGAGAAATGTTGGCGGATGCGACCTGGGCTATGCTGCACGATCCGACGAATTATCTGCTGCAATCATGGCAAGGTGCTCATCTCACTCAGGTCGCAGCGCAGTTCGGAAGGCGAACGTCTGCGTCTTTGGTATGACATAGTCAAAATCTGCCTGACGATGGGGACCGGTCCACATTTTTGGGCAGGGATTATGGGCGACGCGCTCCAGCAGCCGTTTTTCCCTGTTCAGCAAGGCACCGTAGAAACGTGCGGCCTGTGAAACCTTTGCACAGCTGTGACAAGCTTAAGGTTGGCAGACACACCAAGATGGCCCCGGTGTACTTCTGGGTGAGACGCGGCCGCAGTCGTAGAAAGTGCTTCCCGAAGCCTCCTGCAAGATTGTGATTGTAGTACGTGGACAAAACGCCTAGTGAAAGCAAAGATGCGCATTCACGAGGAGAAATCCAATTTTGGCATCGGCAGAAACAAAGCCCCCGGTAGCAATCCCGGTAGCAAGATTCTGCAGAGCTTTCATTACCTCAGCACAAGCTGCTTCACAGCCTGAATCACCATAGGTAGCAGTGCTTTAAGCGCTGCTGTTCCTGCATTAACTCGCTGGTCCCATGCGCCTGGGCACCAAATCACTGGAGGTGTAGTGCAATTCTGCACATTACGCCTTCGCAGCTGCAGTTATGACTGAAGGAGCTGCATCTGGAATCTAGAAGCTGCATCTTGGATGCACTGTAGACAGGCTGTACAAAAATAATGTCAAAAGCTATGCCACTAAACAATGCCTGCTCAGCAGCTCAATTCTTGAAGCACATTTCAGCCTTGCCCAACAAGGAATGTAATTTGTTTCGGTTGGACTACTACTGTCGTGAAAGAATGCAAGAGAACAGAATCCTGCACACCACGCCATGAGGCAACCACAGCATATATCTTCAACAACCCTGGGCTGTAACACACCAGAAGGGACACGGTTGCCCAGACTCAGCCTCTTCACCGGTACAGAAACTGAAAACCGTTGTCCTCAGCAAGACATTGGAAAGGCGAACCGTGCATGGTCTTGGCATGGCGGCATGGCACCCTACGCAGCATGCTCAGCTCTAGTTTATGTTGCAGCCAAGCATCGCAATGCCCAAAGGAATGAAGTTCAGTGCTGAAATCCTGGGAACAACTGAGGTATCTCGCAAGAACCCTGTGCTGACCGTGAGCCTTCATGGGCAGTGGTACTACGGGATGATACAGCCCTCGACCTTTGAATATGCATGCAACCGAGGCACAAGGACCAGCCCAGTCGGAGCCCGAAGAGCGTCAGGGGCTTCACCTTGCCTTCGAAATCCAGCTCTTCACCTAAGATGTCTGAGGCAGCGCCTGTCGTGAAAAACCATCCGAGCCTGCTTCCACTCTGGGAGCTCCAGGCGCTTGCTGTGCAACTTTGATTTGCTTGCCAGTCTACTGTGGTGCAAGACACAGCATGGGTTCAAACAACGCCAGAACACATCCATGCTTCACCATCATGGCAAGCGATGCATGCAGCCCAGTAAACTGCTGTGTGAGAGAAGCTATTGCACCGTGTGCAGACTGGGCACACACTCCGCTGATGAGCTCCGTGCACTGCGCCAGCTTCTCAGGATCCTTGTGCATGGCTTTGCATTTCCTCGCAGACAGCTGCATTGGACAAACTGTTCTCAACCAGACTGCCTCCACAGCTTTGCGACAGCCAAGGGGCTGTTTCTCTGCGGCTGGGTCGAACCTCGTGGCCTCACTGACAGTAGGTGCTGCATCGCTACCCATAACACATGGAATATCATGCCAGAGTGTGTGATATGGCTTGAGAGTCCAGGCCAGCATCAGGCTGCGCTGCCGGTAGAGCAAGTACACATGGCGTTCCTTGGTGATCAGGCCACCATAGGTTCTTCTTTGAGCTCTCAGACCATCAGCCTGCTGCCACACAGTGCTCCTTACTTGAAGGTGCCGCCCGGGCTCCACAGATGCGTTCACCTGACGCACAACGGGGCAGTCTGAATTCACAGAGAATGCGGCTGTGAGGAACCAACCCTGGTTCATATTCGTTCGGGCAGGCCTCGTTTCCCAGGAAGACCATGGCAAGGATGCCTCCAATGAGCAGGGCGAGGATGGCTGAGGTCACCGTCAACGATGTCAACCCGACTGCACCGTTGACATATTTCGGATAAGCCTCAGCCGGCTTGGGGCACATTGCGAGTGCTCTGCTAAGTCAGCACAGCATTCGGAGCATGCCAAGAATGAGAGCAATTCTGGCAGATCCCAACAGGATGGCTGCTTCTCCTGCACACTAGGAACCGGCAGGAGCATGCCAGTCAGCAGGTCGGCCTCAAACAAAAAGCCACGGATTTCTGCAGCCGAGCATACCAAGACATCACGCTAGGATGGCCAGCCAGCTGCGATTGAGGCACAACGATGAGGAGCATCATGAAGAAAAACTGAGCCTTAGAATAAAACCGCCGCGGCGCATCTCCCCTAACAGTCCCTGACAGAGCCTCAGCCATGCATCCAGCCAGTCCCAGCTGCTGTGAACGCTCGAATGCGGACGTGGTAGAACTTCCCCCACTCGTTGCAAAGCTGTCTGAGCTTCCGCCACCCTACGATGGTATTCACATCCTTGGCTTTGTTGCGCGCACGCGGTCAGAAGCGCAATAGAGCCAGCCAGAACACCCGCACCATCTGGTACCTCTGCATGTTGAGTGCCGACATGCTTCGCTCAAATCGAGGATGGGGAGCATGTCCACCTCATGGCTGCACAGTCTGTGTTCTGTCAGGCAGCCAGGGGCATGCACATGAGCCCGATGGGCATTCTTGCGCACTTGGGAGGTTTCTGCATATGCTTCTGAAGGGCAATGACATCAGAAGTCACTTAGTCCTGCTGCACAAACAGGTTCCGCGTCCAACACGCATCCGTTTTCCGTGCAGCCGTGGCTGTGGCATGCGGTGGCTTCGGAGTCTTATACATGCGGAGCCCGCTGTAGCTTTCGCCTTCAAGATGTCTTTACTTTGTGTTCTTGTTCGAAATGTCTTCACACGTTCTATACAGCCGGGCCCCTGACTCTGCTCTGCACTCTTCTGTTGCACTTCTTCGTAGAGTGCTGCTTGTTGATGCTTGTTGTAGGTTTGACCAAAATTGATTCTCAGGACCTGGGACCTGGCTAAGGCTTCCGACCCGTGGTCCAGACACATCGGAGTTACCACTTTCTCCAGCTACTCGTCTGGCACTTTTGGAGAAAGTTCATCACCTCTTAATCTTCAACGCTCTTCCTCCTCTTGTCCATCCCCCACCAACCATGGCCTCAATGATATGAGCGAGTGCATCTTCAAATGCTGCCTCTTCGTGGGCCAGTGGGTGTAGGCAGCTAATGGGTTGTGTCTTCTGTCATCTTCCACCATCTTCTTTCCGTGATGCCAAGCCTGAACATCAATCTCTCCTATGTGTCTGGCAGTGTTGACCGGCTCGAATTTCGATCTGGGTTTCCAGGCTGCCGCAAACTGCCGCTCCCTCGACCGTACCCGAGTGTACACCGTGCTGCAATGCCTGAGGAAGAGCAGCTCGTGCCGGAGCCCTGCTTCTTCCAAAGCAGCTCCAGGCCGGACTGTGCAACAGTAGCGGGCAGCACGGCAGCAGTATGTGGCAGAAGTCGGTTTTCTGTCTCATGCAGGAATGCTCTAGCCGGTGCCTCTTCGGGGTTTGTTTAGACCAGCTACAGCTACTAGGCGCCGCCTCGGTTCAGTTTCATGTCCATTGCACCCATACCAGAAAACAGTTTCGTCTTGTACTTTCGAATGCGAGCCTCGTCCGACATCTCTTTTTGGGTCATCGTGAGGAGATCACAACCCAATATGGGAAGAGCAAATCTCTACAATGTCAGATGGACATAGATGGACAGCAGGGATCAGCGTTGCAGTCCATCCGTCTTTGTTGAGCTTCGATCTTCTCATATTGGTTACCCAGTATGATCTTCTCGTCCTGGGCTCTGATGGTGTCAACATCGCAATTCATTTGTGTTATCATAGACTGGCCCTGAAGCACGCTCATCGTGCCGCCCCACATTTTTTCACAGTTTCCTCCTGCATCATGTCTATGAGTTGGGGGTCGGCATGTGCTTAAGTCCCCCAGCTTCTTGGAGCATTGCATCTTCTACCCTCAAATGGATGTGGATTCTCGCTCCTCCTTGCGCACGGCCTACAATCAACTGAGCTTTTGCATTTTTCAGTCCCGAGCCTCTGCTGGGCAGTGACGGCGGAACTCCCGCTGAACGGACAGCATGGCAGCACAGCTGCGCATTAGAGCCCGTCTCCTGGCAAGCTTGGCTGATTGTGCCGATGCCCTGCCATCAACATCCGTGATCCGATCGTGCTTGTCGCCACCCTTGCGGTTGCAAATGTTGCAGGCTGGTGCGCTTACAGCTTCACCGCCTGCAGCAGCAGCACCAGCACCAGCAGCAGCACCACCAGCAGCAGCAGCACCGGCAGCAGCACCACCAGCACCAGCAGCACCAGCGCCAGCACCAGCACCATTTGTTCAGGACTTAGAGCTTCTCGCGCCGCTGTCCTCCAGATGTCCTTTGCACCGACGAACATGAAAGTGCTCGACGTCAGAAAGCCTTGGTCCATTTGATCAATGACCAGCAGCCCCTGACAAAGAGAGTACGCACGAGGCGCTCGACCATGGAGTCTTGGAATCTCATAGGCTGAGTAGCACGTGCATGCTGACGGCCACATACCAATGATACCAATGTAGGCTGCGGGACCTTCAGACTGAAAAGCGAACAGCCAGACGTCGCGGCACTGCCAATCTTGCAAACCGAGCCTGTGCCGAGGAAGTACCCCGTGTAGCTGTAGCGGAGAATAGACGGCAGCAGCACAATCGACAGGGTGACCACAAACAACCTCAGATGAGCCCGTCTTCAATGAGGTTGCTGCCGGCGGAACTTCATGAAAATTTCAAGCGCATTGCCATCACAGGTCACCACGGAGACACACAGAGAGACAGAAAGATAGACAGCTTGACATCGAGAGAGAAAGCAATATGCATAATGATGGATGAATGGATAACTTGATAGATAGCTAGCCTCCTGTTTGGCTTAAGACACACAAGACATCACGCAACAGAATCTTCCCCAAGCGGCGGCCAGACGGGCGAGGGCACAATAGCCTTTCAAAGCACAGGATGCTAGAGCCTCTAACCAATTATGGGGCGGCTTTGGTGGACGGTCATCGTCGCGATAGCGGCGGGCTGAAAGTGGCGAAACATGCGTCTTGTGAGCAACAATTCCGTGTCAACCCAAGCTGCGCCATGCCTCTTGTTTGATCACTGAGCACCGGACGCGCTCACTGCGCATGACGCCGCGCAAGATGTACAAGAACCTTAATTTAATGCACCGTCAAAGTACCGCGCCGAAGGCCAGGAAATCGGCTAGTCACGTCTACGAGTCTACGCAGCTTGACGAAAGGTTGCTTGCTGCTAGTGTTTTGCGCAGGCACTCTTTGGAAGCTGAGCTCAGGACAAGTCTTGGATCGGCACTTCTTGCCCAGAAGCGGCAGCGCGGAAGATGTCCGTGTCATGGTCCTACAATTACAAAAGGTGGTGAAGCTGGTGAGTTGCTTATCGTGTGGGTTCCTGACAATCACTGCTCCTTGTGTTGGTCAATCAGGCCTGGTTGCGGGATGGTGTCATCCGAAGGCAGTCTCCGACACGACGACCTCAGGGTTAGCATTTTGAGTCACAAGAGCCCGGTCGCAGCCATGTCTCTAACACATGTCTAAGCGCGGCACGAAGCTGACACTAGTTGAGTTCCTTAGCCCGGGCAATGTGGTGGTCTGACCTGGCTGAACTCTTGCATCCCAAGATACTGATCTGTCCCAAGTCCGCTTTCCTGGAAAGGCATGCCAGTACTTCTTCGGAGATCCTTCTTAAATAGGAGCTGCTGGGCTGAACTCTTGCCCATAGTCACTCGCAGAAAAAAAGATTGGTCTGCAAATATCTGCCGATGCCGTGCCAGCTGTTAACTGCTCTTGACTCTTGCCATTTTCAAGCAGGTGACATCCGATGTTTGCCTGACAGCCCATCATTCTGCTCATCCCCTTCAGCATCAAACTGCCTCATTGGCACTGTCACAAACGAGGCAGCGCGGAGGCAAGGCTAAAGCAAAGCCGCAAGGTGCACCTCAGCTTTTCCAATTTGCCAAGACGCAGGAACTGCTCCTTTTCAGCCTTCCTCGACCGAGAGTTCTCGCGCAGTATGCGTCCGGTAGGTGCCTTGGCACTGCAGCTCTTGATTGCCTCCATTATTCATAGGAAGGGACCTCAGCAGGCGCATGAATGACGGAAGCAATGAATGAGTTCAAAGGTCCTGGCATAGAACATTGTCTTGCTGGTGATGTCAACGCGTTCTCGCATGAGCGTTAGCTCAGCCTCTGAACGTGGCCACGGCAAGAACTTCAGAAGGGTCTGGCCTGATCAAGCAGAAAACACGGCATATGATTTGATCTCCTTGCTCGGTAGCAGCAGCAAGGGCAGCGCAAAACTGCCGTGTGCAGTCCAGATACTTCGCTGCTTGCGTGAGCCAATCACAGTGACCTTCGTTCAAGCTCAAACGGAAAAGCTACAGGTCCATGCTCTATTTCCTTGTGACGAGCGCTGAAGCTTAGTTGTCTTTTTGAACTGGACTGCAGCCTGCTGGCAGGCACGCCAGCCTCATATGCAGCCCACAAGGCTAGCTTAGGTAAGCTTCATGAACGCCTGGGCTCAGTCGAGCGTCAAAAGCGACCTCGGCCTGCAGCGCGAAGTTCTCTGCAGGAATGCGCAGCCAGCCTCCCAGCGTTTGAATTGCGGCACGAACTATGGGTATAGCACATGGCAGAAGACATCAAGGTTCTGGAGCTCGAGCGCAAGCCTCCGAGAAGGTTCATGTTCCTCATGGGCAGCTGTCCATGGAAGAAACCAAGGGGTCTGACATTCCGGTGACTCAGAGCTGCGAGCAAGGTCGCTGCCAAGCTGCATTCTGTACTGCAGATCCACATACCTGGTGTTCAGCTCCATCCACGTTGGCGTGGAGGTGTATGCGTACTTGGTTGCCACCGGCATGTTCCTTGCCAGGGGGTTTGTTGGCCAGCATGGCAGCTACTGAGCTGCAGTACACGTTCGCCAGTCTGTGGGGTTTGGGCGCTAAGGCGCTAAGAGTGTTTTGTTCTTTTCATGGTTCCTTGGGCTTACCCGGGGGAACGGCTACAACTTGCAGTCGTATTCTTGGCAAATACTGGATTTGCAACAGGAGTCGCCTGGAAATACGGGATTGAGGAAGCTTCAGCCAGACCACTCCCAAATTTTCAGTTGCAGCATCCAGCTTCTTGCAAGGAATTGGGAACTTGGAACTTGGAACACAATGTTATGCTGCTATGCTAGCAAGATTTAGCAAGGCACTGGCAACACCAACAACATCACAAAAACAACAAGCCCGGGCATGGTAGCAATTGTAAGCCAAAGCAGTACAAGTAGAAGTATATCGAAGCAGTCGTACGGTAGCGAGAGGAATGGTAGTAGCAGCAGCAGCAGCACTATTACGGCGCCCAAACCCGTCCAAACCCTAGGTTTGCCAACCCCATAGCGGAACACTGGTGTGTTTAGGTTCCAGGACATTCATGCCCCAGCTCTTCGGGATACCCAAGGGTTCTATGCGCAGATACCCTGAATTCTTTGGGGCTCATGCTGCGATTTATGTTCAGCCAACTCAAGCCTCGAAGGCTGAAGAGTCCAAAGCCCAGAAATCCCCTGAGCCAGAGAGCAACAACGACACAAATCAATGCCACAAAAAACTGAAACCCAACCACACTGGACATTGCATTCAGCATCCTTGGGTCCTCAGCAGTAGGCCGATGATGGCCAGCTTCTTCTCTATCAAAGTGATCTCATGCTTCTCGTCGAAGAAGTACGTGGCGATAAGCGATGAAAACAGGCAGGCCCAGGTGAGGAACTGCGAAACTGCTGACAGGTCGATTCCTCAAGATATTGCCCGTCCCCTTGCACCAACGAAGATAGACACAGAGAGGACGGAGAGAGAGAGGGTTACGGCACCATGCCTGGGTATGCAGACATGCGGCGAAAAATCCAGAAGCCCCTGTTCAGGAGGCCCACCTTGCTTCCATACAGCAGGAAGAGGGCCGGATAGGAGAGCGGTCCCAGGATGCTGTAGAGCAGCTGCCCAAGAAGCTCCTTGACAACAGCTGCGCAGTGACTAGTGATTGCTGGTCCTGCCCCCCTTGTGGGGGCATGCCGGTTGAGCTGCATTATTGCCAACCAGGCGCAATGAAAAACACGCGGTAGTGGAACACTTCGGATACTTCTGTCACCCAGCTATTTAGATCTGTATGGAAATCGTTGGCGGGCTCGTGGCACGGAATTGTGGGCACAGCTGAGTCTGTCGGCTCAGGCGCGGCCTGTCGCTCTTCGTGCTGAGTATCTGCCGAGCCTCAACTTGCCCAATTTTTTTTCAGAATCCCTAGGGACAAGCGCTCGCAAGCATGCATTATGTAGAAGTGGATGTCAGCGAAACCAATCCCAGCCTTCCGGCGGGCTAGCCAGAATGTCCACTTCAACGACGGCCTGCCCAGAAGTTGCGCACTACATGCAAGATGTCAGAAGGGGCTCTCGCAATTCCTCCTTACCTTACCCGGCCCTGTCTGGTGTGGTGAATTGCCTCCATGGGCAGGAGCTCGCTAGGCTCGTCTGTGCAGGTACACTGCGCACAGCCTGCCAGCATCCAGCCCTCTGAAGAAGGTTAGGATACAAAGACTTGCGAGACGTCAAATGTAGCATGCATAGTAGTGGGTCACAGCACTCACAGTGACAGACGCGAACACACTGTAGAATCATCCGCTCTGCAACCTGGCCTGCAGTAAACGACGCATGGTGCCCAAGCATGTCTCTGCATTGCACAAGCGCTGTGGAAAGGCTACGTAAATATGTCTTCGGCTGGCTGCGCACTGCGTGATCCCAAAAGTTTCGGCAGGCCAGTTGCCTAAGTGGATGACATTTAATCATCACGCTTACATAGCCATAGCCCCGATAAATTCCGATAATACAGGCTCCTTGTTGGCGGCGAAGGGAGCAGAGCATGCGAACTTCTGAAAGGCCTGTGAGGCTAGGTCCAGTATAGCTCACATTCAGCAAGCAGTGCGGTCTTTGCTGCAAGGACACGGACAAGACGCATCCCACTCACAGGGGCTACCTTGTGACGAACTACTCTAGCCGCGACAAATTGATTGTCAATTGCATGGCGGCTGGCCATAGAGACATGAAAGACAGAGAGAGGGCTTCCAACGTTGAAAGCGTGGTCTCCCTGGCGAATTCGGATCTCGATCTTCGTTGTGCAGTCTAATAGAAACAAGCGTAGAGGACACACTCTGCTACCGCTGTCTTGCTCATCATCCTCGATTGCCTCGATTGCCGTGATCCCAGGCTTTGCATTCGCAACTCGCCTGGTTGTTCTAGCTTGTGAAACCGAATTACCTGCGAGCACCATAGGCACCTCTGGTCTAACTATTTGGGATCCCAATCTACAGTGTCAGATGAAACATCATTTCGGGCAGGCCCCTCTTACTGGAAGTACCTCCATCTTTTTGTCAGCAGGGCAACAATGTTCGCCGTCGTTCTGGAAAGTAGCAAGCTTGCAATACAGTACTGCGTCGGACAGCGACCGTCGAAGCAGTCAAAACCTCTCTCACAGAGAGCAAGTGGAAGTGAATTCGGCAATGAATCTGCCGCTGCTATGCTGAGAAGGTTCATGGCTCCCGATGTTTGGAATGGTAGACCCAGCGACAGAAAGTTGAATTCAAAATCACGTCAGGCGTGCGCAGCGTACAACCATTTTCAAGGGAGGGGACTGGAGAATGCTCATGCCGAAGGTAGAGATCCTAGCTTAGCGCACGATGAACAGTAGCTGCGGCTGGTGTTTTAAACACTGCCAACTCCAGTCAAGACTTTTAACTCAACCAACCTGGCCCTAGAAACAGCAACTTCAAGGAGCCTCAGCCCCTTGAGAAGTTCTAGAAAACGCATGTAATGTTTGCAAGCTCAGAAGTCTCTGATGAGTCGGCATGTTTCTTTACGGTTCTTAAAGGAGGCTGGGCCAGGTTGAGCTTCAAAACCACTTCTGAGAGGGGGCACTCTGGCTCCTCTCAAGGCGGAGACGGCTTCAGAGACCCCTGCCTCACTGGCAGACCTCAGTGGGAAAGAACTTCTTGGAGCCTGCCTGGTAAGCTACAATATTTGGGTGCTAGAAAAGACCAATGATCGTAATTGCGAGAGCTTGAGGCGTTCTTAGGCAGCTGTCTTTCCATCGGAAAAACCTGTAATTGTATGCAGCTAAGGGACGGGCTCCCAGCCGCGCTTGCTACGCACCCAAGTGAGCAGTTCGGATACGCGAATCTCCTTAAATCATTGCTTAATTTGGTAGTGGCCAGCTTGACAAAGCATCTTGCAGGTGAAGCTGTGGCTGCCCTCTGTGGCATCAGCGGCCAGGGGGCTGCTATACTCTCCCATCGAGCTGGACCTGACAAGAAAACCTCTCTCTACTCCTTGCCGGAGGGCATCCAAATTTGAAAAGCCGTCTGCAATCCACGCGGCATCTTTCCTTCATCTCCCTCTGGTAATCTTGACCTGGAGACAATCTCAGGTAGCGGCTCATTTTTTCACAAGTTGCGCTTATCTGTGACTTGAAAGCATTTAAACTAGCGAAAGCATTCTGACGTGGTTCTCCTGGAAGACCAGATCACAAGACGTTTTACAATGAAGTGCGCTGAAACCGGCCAGTGCCCCAAAAAAATCGATGCCAGTAACTGCCAGTAACTATGCGGAGTTTTACTGCCCATTGCCGAGATGCCAAACGGCGGTGCGCCGACGTGTCCCAGACCGGCTGCAGCTCTCAAACTCTGAGGACTGCCAGGCCACAGAGATGACTTGATATCTTAAGGTATGACTCAAAAAAGAAGGTTACCATAGGAAGGTCATAGGGATTGAACAGCTTTATATCAACAAGAAGAGATAAGAAGAGGCAAACATCAATCAGAACAGCATGGTGCAGTTGGAAAAGGCCGTGGAGCAGCTAAATACGAACCTTCACACAATCCACCAGCTCTCAGGAGGACCTGGATGGCACCCTACCACACCGCATCGCAATCACAACAACAGAAAAGACAACGCCAATAACAACGAGGTAAAGCCCTAGTCACGATATGTCATGATACGGTAGCTTTGTGAGCGTTTCAACCACTGACAAGACTCAAACCAGACCATGGCCATAGTCTGGGCAGCAGAATCACTAGGATGGCAGAGAGACTTGCCAGAATTACAAAAGCAACTGGTTAGATCACATGGGACCCGCATTGGAATAGGAACTCCGATTGGGCCAAATTACAGTAATGCCAAAGCCTGACATAGGGCCATTTGGAGGGGGGATATTCCATATTAACCGCCAATTACTGCCATGTCGAGTGAGGTCGGTCTAATCTGACAAGCACATGTAGCAGATTTGGGAGTTTCCCTAAATTAGGGGGACCCACAAAAAGGCCCCAAAATCCTACAGTCAATTTAAAGTACACCTGATTTTGGGAAACCCTCATTTTGTATCCTGACCGAGTTCTTCGCCTGCCAGCTACTGAGCTCGGCCCTGCCGCGGGCCTGGGGTGCTGGAGATTGTTGAGGCAAACAGCGATACAAGCCTATATATCCCCATGTACCCTATAGAAGCCCATGTAAACCCTAAACTGATCTAAATGGGTGAGAGAGTGAGAGAGAGAGAGAGAGAGAGAGAGCGAGAGCGAGAGCGAGAGCGAGCGAGAGGGTGCGTGTGATACTATATCTTAAGAGCTTGTAGAGAAGCGAGTTCCAGAGGTCCCTCGTAAGGATTACAGATTACATTAGGTTCTTTAGTGAAATTCCGTTTCTCAACTTTCTAAGCCGTAATCCTCCGATGGTTAGGACTGCCTCAACTGAGGGTACGTAATGAAACCCCAATTCTGAAATAACACCCCTGCGACCAGAAGGAAGCGCTGGAGATTTCTGGCAAATGACGAGTAGTGTCACGACAGAAGATGCAGAGGTGGGCTGCGTGCCCATCCGGAACTCCGCCACTCCCATCTTCCAGGCTAAGTGAACAATGCTCGGTGCTAAGTCCCTGTGGAAATTTGCAAGAAAATACTGAGGTCACTTTTATAATTTCTATATTGCTACTCCTACGTTCAGCATCTGCAGCACCTCCTGCAACAATGATGCTCATGCTTGATATTGCTTGCATTGTTTCCATAGTCTTTTATACGCTTGCCTTGTGTGAGGCTCCCACCAATGGCTTTGCATACCCTCATTGCTTGACCCTCCTAAGGTGTAAATGCCAATCCTCAACATGCAAAAAGCTTTCCCGGCCCGAAGCAGGAGTGGAGCCAAGCGGCCCCAGGCAGCATCGAGGCACTCAGCTCCGAGACCTGCCCAAAAAGGACAGGTTGATGAGGCTCTCCGGGCTTGATGTTCTTGGATGGTCGGGATGTTGTGGATTATCACAAAGCGAAGTGAGTCATCTTCCACAGTTTTGGAGGCGTTGGCTTGCCGTGGCTCGGCATCTGTGTTGCGGAAAAGAACTTGAGCCAAAGAGGAATCCCACCTCCTGGAAAGTTTTTTCCACTTCCGCATTTGTCGTCAGGAGAATCGAGGATCTGGTGCATTTACCATACATAAATCAGTGTTACGCCCCTTCCCCCTCAGAAGATACATATCCTTTCAGAAGGAATCATCAATGTCCTGTGAGACCTGTTCAGAAAATGCACCTCGTGAGAAGACGTGACAATTTTGCTGCCTTTTGGGGCTAGTTGCACTCACACCCCCCCAACGGAGGGTTTGGGCAGATGTCCCCTCAGACCTCTTGAACAGCCCTGAGGTCGTTATGTTCAAGAACATTTCAGCAACATACTTCGTACTCGTAAAGGTGGCTTCCATTCGGCGGCACTGAACTGGAATCCTACTGCACGTCTGGGGGTCACACAATCAATCCCAACCATGGTGGCGAATTGCGAGCTCAAAGCGCCTCGAAATAGCTGCCACGCTTCAGGAAGAGATCTGCCAGCCACAGCCATGAGGCCGTCTGCACAGCCTACAGCTCAACAACCAGGAGCTTTAAACCGCGCACATGCTGCCATTGCTGGGGTCCCTGCCAGCAAGGCTGTCTGCAAGATTGGGTGTTGAAGGTAGGGCGCCAGAACCTCCAACCCAACCCAATTCGACCAAGCAACGCTGATGTGTAACCGTGCCCACATGCAGAGTAGCTTCACGTGCCGCTGGGTGCCGCATGCCCATCCTAAACTTAATTACATGAATGGCGTCCATCTTGGCTTGTAATGCATCTGTTGGTCTACATGGATTGTTTGCCTGCAATGTAGACAAGAAAATACGCTGCCCGTCTGCACAAAATCGGTTGCCAATTAGTGTAGGTCAGGCGGGCCTGAACCAGTATGAAGATAGTTGGGAATGCCAGGAAGTATGCCGACCCAGCAATCTCAAACGTCCGCAAGAAGTTTTGCAGCTTCATACCTCCTGGCAGCATCGTCGAATTGAAAGCCATGCAAACACGGAACTTGTCCAGGCCTGCCGTCCGCAGCCTCTGAATGCCTCGGTGAGAGCACCAGTCGTACACCTCCGCACCCTCTAGAGTCTCCAGAGGCAAAAAAAAATTCTTGGACAATCAAGCCGCAAAGCTGTAGCATTAACAGAATGCAGAGCACGCCTTGGCATAATTAAAGCTGCCTCCCTGGAGTACAGCTTCAATATCAGTCGGCACTTGCAGCGCCAACCCCGGCAAACGCCAACAAACCGGGACTCATGAGCGGGCTGCATTTCTAGGGCGATCTTCCTCCGGCACTATGGTCAGCACGCTGATTCACAACGAAGGCCCACTCCAAACTTGCTCCCAGACGTTCTTTAAATCAAGCTGGCAGAACAGTCAAGAGACATCAATACTGTCCACAAGTCAATGGTCAATCGTTGTAGCTGCTGCCAACGTATCGAGCACGTCGCATCAGTACGCTCACTCACCATCCCGCCGTCACCGGCACTGCCACCACTACCAGCACCATCACCACAACCCCCACCACAATCAGGACAAGCAGCACCATCACCCTCAACATCATCACCATGCTACGCCCCATTATGCATGATTAATCTTCACACTGCAGCTGCTGCCCAGTAGCCACTACGAAACCAGGCAAAGAGGCTGAGGCGAACTGAAAGCAGGATCCAGCCAACAAGGCCCTCATTCTCGTGGTACTTAAAATCCTCCACAGCTTTCAGAGGTTCCTTGATTCAAGAACCTTCAACCCGAAGCAGGTGGCAGCACTCCTCGGCTTGCATCTTCCCGATGGCCACCAGAGCTACGTGCAAGAGCGTGATCACGGTCACCACGGGCACGAGGAGTTCGACCTGCAGCCCCGGTTGTTGAAAATTCCTTTTGCTAGTTTGAGGCCCTTGGGCCGCGCTTGCGGCAAACTGGCACGATCTCAAGCATGCCTAAAATCTTGTTCCGTCGAGCAACACGTAGGACGTAGGAGAACATAACCTGTACACTGACCTGATGCTTGGACCTAGCTTGCGCGTACCTTGCGTGCGCACACTTTTAGCCACTTTTCTGATCTTTTCTGGCTTATGATTTCGTCGTTATGTGAAAAGCAAACTTTTTTACACAATGCCCATGCGACGCCAAGAGCAGCATCCAGCAAACCTGCCTCCTTTAACTTGGAGCGGATCAGGGTGTAGCCCTGAGCTATTGCCTGGGGCTGCAATGAAGCTCCCTCTTGCTGCACTGGACTCAAACCCCCATCACGAAACAACGGCAGGGAGTAGGCGCGGGGCAATCAATAAAGAGGCGCTGGCAACCTCGAACGAAGAGAGCCGCTTCTTCCAACATCATCACCAATGTCTGTTTCTGCCATCTGTCCCGAGAGCCCTGCTTGGCTCAACATGAAAAGCACCTCTGCGAGTCCGTCTGCAGCTGGCAGACCTTGACCTGAAAGCAGGTTTACAGTTTTGCGGCTGGCCTCTACAGTAGAACCTACAGCCAGGATCGCTAAGGAGCCGGCCATTCTTCTTATAAGTCAGAAGGTGTGCTAGGTGAAGTGCCTCACTGCTATCAGGAGACCAAGCCAGGCAGATAATGCAAGGAAGCATTGCCTGTGACACCCAGTGGAGGCCCACTGCAAAGAGCAGACCACGAACTACAGGATGAAGCCGGCCTATCAGCACATGCAGGCCATCCCAAGACAAAATGCACGAGACGACAGCATGGCAGCTTTTCGCAGCTGTGGCCTAAGCTTTGACGAAGAACCCGGCTTTTCGAAAGGAACCAGCACGCCATCGCTGTGAGCATCAGCAAAACTAACACGGTGGCTACCGGCATGTACCTGGCACACATTTAGATGCATGATTGGCAATTGGATTCGCACCGTCGGGCCCGTCGGGCCCCGCCTCATTTCCAAACTCAGCTCTGAGTCATCAAACTGCCTGGGTCACATGCTGCTAGAATCAGAGAAACAGTCTCGCATGTGCAGACTGCCTCCAACGAATCTCATAGTCCACCGTATAACCTCAGGTAGGGCGGCATATGTCTCTGCGCACTCTTGTTGCGAGGACAGAGGCGGCCGAGGTGCCGAAGCTCCGGTTTCCAGGCATGCCTCGTGCAATCTGATCTGGGCAGTCGGAGAGGGCCTGGAAGCTGCTGCTGTAGCCGCAACAACCTACTCTGATACTCTAATTCCACACGCACGCCACCACGTGCTGACTCAGCTGCAAAATACCAAATGTGCGGCCGAATTGTCTGATACCTCAGGAGTTCATGGGATATGCATTGCGACCATTTCACCGAAGAGGCTGAGGCAGGAGCAGCATTCCAACTTCCCACGGACCCCATTCGCCAAGCCTTGTCCGAACAAACATGCCAAAGCGAGGCACCACCACAGCAGCCACCAAGAAGTCAAGACAAGCGTCTGCCCTGGGACAAGCATTCCGTGGGTCTTCCGAGCCGGCACATCCTGCAGTCTGCACAAACTTCACATGCTTTTTATGCGCACTTCCGGATCTTCCCATTCAGCTCCAGCTTTCCCTGGCCTGCGCTCGCTTGCAAGCAGAGAAGCGCCCCTGCTTCGGCCAATCCTCGTCAAGGAAAATCTCCAAGTCGGGTCTCGGCAAAACCTTCAAGTTTCTTGACTTGCAACCACATGACCGGAGCCAGGCAGACAATGGCTGTGAGATCCAGGCCTGGTCCTCATGCAAGGTGTTGTGTAGCCTGCGTTCAAAACGGCATCATTGCTGGACAAAATCGTTTTCGACTGTTCGGATGCCTCAGCCGAATTTCATAACGCCCTGTGCCAATCGCCTTGCTCATGCTCCAGGCACAAGCAAAACTCTGTCTGCTCGCAACAGCAGGAGCTGTCGCGCAAGTCTGAGCAAGTGCAGAACCAAGCTCCCAGCATATCCAAACTTGCCTCAGGATCACTGCAAGCTTTGAAGTCCATGGAATAGCATCATTATGATTGCAAGTATTCTTATGTTCTTTGTTCTTCCCGTTTTCAGCTCACTGTTCTTTCACGTTCCGCGGCTGTTTTGCAAAACTCCGCAAGCACTGCACATACGCCTTATTGTTATGCTGCCACAGTTCGAGTTGAAAAAACTTCCATAAATTGCAAGCTCAAAGCTCACTACAGAGACTCAAGCTCCGTAAAGCATTGCTTGTGATGTTCTAAGTTGAGCCTGAACAGCGGGGAAGACACCTAAATTGTGACAAAGCTGCCGAGGAATCTCCACTGCTCTTGCTCTTCCGCTGCTGCCCCTCCAAACGTCAAAGTCCCTGATTGCACTTTGCCTCAAATCCATAGGCAACACATGCGCCATTTGCAAGCAAGCATGCACTTGCCACTGGCCAGGCCACACTCTGCTCCCATGAAGCGCAACACCAGCACTCCCACTAGGAAGGAGCATCGGGTGCCTTCATACAGCAGCTAACTTCACCAAAACTTATCGCAATGCGCCTTCCTCAGCTGAGCGCAGCGCGAACAGACATGGCGCACGTGCAATTTTGCAGCCGTGCAAGCAAACGGCTAGGCTGCTAAGTTTCTTAGCAAAGCCAAAATGGCTGCAGAACTTGGTGTCTCCAGGTTAGCTTGCGGCCCAGCAGAATGTCGGCAGAAGTTGTTACATCAGACGGCACATGGCAGTGGCCTACAGCAGCGCTTTGCTCAGCGCGCCTGTCAAATGGGAGAAGCACATCGGTTGCATGGGTTGAGACATCATCGTGCTCTGTTGCCATGGTCAGCAAGGATAGGCGTATCCAAAAAACCCTCAAACACCTGCACTGAGCTGCCGCAAAGTCAAGACTCACCTCTTCTTGCGCAGGTTATAGCATGTCTAGTGAGTCTAGTGAAACCGAGGTGCCGACACCAAGGACTCAAGAAAAACTACCGGTACTTTAACGCTGTTGGTGGACTGAAGCCAACTTTGTACAAGCATGCAATCTGGCCACTGCACGCGAGCTTCAGCACCACATTAAAGCGGTACATGCGTCTGACAGCCCTTGCTGTGAAGGGCGTCTCCCACCCAAAAGATGACAGCATGGATCAAACCATCAAAATCACTAGATCGGCACTTCCGGGGCATATCCACGAGCAATCGTGAAATGATTTGTGTTGCTTCCTTGGGCATCCAATTTGTCGAATCGTCTTGGCTAGGTGTGACGCAAGAGCATTGATAGCACCATCCGCAAACTGAGCTTGAGGCTGTAGTACTCCGTTCCGAGCCATAGGGTGCTCAAGCCAAAGAGCTCTGGGCAAAGGTCCACGAGCGTCACATAGCTCGACCAGTTCTTACCGGGATCGACCATGGCCTGCAGCATACATCCTTTGGTGTAGTGTCCCTGCAGAAGTGCAAGAAGGCATGCCTTGCGCCAGAGTATATGGTAGTCCGTGCCCGGGACAGGGATCACCGATTCACCGTTTGCCATCATTTGCAAAAGGTGCCCCTGGCAGTCAAAAGCTGAGAAAGGTGTGACTCTCAGAACTCGAAGCCGGTGCCTTGATGACCTCAGGGGATGCAGGCAACCAGCCAGCGACTGCTTCTGGACTCCAAGTACGGCAATCTCCTTTTGCAGGGTTGTCTGTGTACCTGAGCGGCTTCAAACAACCATGTGGTGTCGAGGCATGGACCGCTGCAGAAGTCTACTTTGATCTACTTTGCCAAGAAAGCTGAGCGGCATGTCGGCATGATATGTTTCTCCTGAGCACCATTCTAGATCGGGGCCAGCTCCCATTCCATAGCGGTCAGAGCCACCATAGAAAACGCTGCCTCGGAGGCTCTGCACTCTCGCCGCACATAGCATCTGCGCTCTTTTAACATGAAATCTTTCTGCTCGCGCTGGGCGCTGTTGTAATTCGCCCAATCGGCCAGCCACCCTTGCTTGAACCTGGATGGAAGCACTTCATGTACAAGGAATGCTCACACATATGTTGGCACATCAAAGCTGAGCCGGGAACAGCTTCTGGAAGGCTGGGAAAGAGTTTACGGGATGCGTGGTGTAGTATGGAATTTGAATCACGTAGGAGGCCCACTTGGACAGCAATGGATGCCCGAACATCTCGATGTTTGGGTGCAGGGCTCTGCCGACAACTCTGTTCCACATAGTGTGAATAGCAGGCATCGAGCAGTTCTCCTGCCCACGCTGTCCACACACCTGATGGCAACAGACATCAGCAAGCTCGTTGCAGCAGAACTTCAAAGCAACACCATTCTAAAATCATGCAAACGAATGCCAGATGGCAATGCCTGAACGCTTTCTTCCGATGCGCACACAACATGTCATGTAGGAGCTGCAGCAACGTCAGCTTGCACATCAACGTGCGCCTTTCGGTCCGCCAGCCAAGCTAATGTGATTTCCTCGTTGTACGGGTAATAGCCATCAGCCTGACAAAATGCTGTAGCTCAAAGCCAACTCACATGGAAGCCTGATCACCCCTCCACCAAGTCAACTGCCCCCTACTTGTTTTTTTTTATTGACAATCCCCAACTATTTCCTGGCACTAGAGTGGGAATGTTCATGATAGTGGAAAGGTGCGGCTTCGTCCTAGTCCACAAGCTGCCTCTGGCCACATGATCTGTTTGCACAGGCCGTTGCTGTTCATCAGCATGGGAATCCCAGTTCCATTGTACCCCTCCACGACATTCTTAGCTGGAGTCACTTGCTGCAACTTGCTATTTGGCAAAATTCCACGTCGATGCTTCACTACTAGCTACTGAAATTGACACGCGTCTTGAGATGCATAGGCTTGCAGACAAAGGATACTGTGCCAATCCACCATGTCCATTAACCTCAGATTTCTTAGAGGAACAAATGCCTCATCCGGTTGAATGCACGCTGTGCTACTGAACATGTGGCAAGGCACGACTCAGTCAGTCTCACTAGCAAACCAGAATCTGTGGACTGCCTCAGCAGACGCACACAGGGATGCTCTGTGCGGAAAAATTGCTGATCATCCTGCTGCTCCACTGCCAGTCCAGGTCGCTTCACATTTGTGCCATTCAGCACATATGTCTGCACAAACATTACCTGAAGTTCGTGGAAGGCCAGGTGTGTCACAGGAGGTGTATACTGAAGCCAAGCAACACCCACGTAGAAGAGGCCAGTGGACATGACCGACCACACATCCTCTACCTTGGTGCCGGCCTTGCGGGTAATCCGAGTCATCCGAAACCCGTCTGCAAGGCTAAGTCTAACTAGTTTGATGCCCTGCCTCAGCCAGAAGTGCCCCTGTGTCCTGGTCGTAGAAGCGTGGAACCCAACCCTTGGGTCCACGAGTAAAATTCCAGGAAGAGCCTGCCCTTGCTGGAGGCGTAACATTGGCATAGGAGGAAAGGGTCAGGTTGACACGCTGCAGAAACTCCTGCAAGTAAAAAAAACAGCAGTAGTAAGAGTCATAGTTATCGTAGTCATAGTAGAAGTAATAGTAATAGTGATAGTACTAGTTATAGTCCTCTCCCAACTCCAGTCTATCGGCAGCCCTGTGGAAACCCATGAACTCCTCCTCTGAAATCCATCCCATGGAATGCGCCACGCATTCCATGATGAGCCCCATCCCGGTCGTATCCGAAGATCCCAGAGCAGCCTGCGTTGCGCATAAGGAGGCTTTACAGAGTCTGCTTATCAATTCATCAGCTTGCCTTGCCGGTATCCAGGTTGATGTGATCAGTGTAGCCTGGGATAATCTGAACCCTGACTACTCCAGAGAGTGTCCATTCCAGAAAAGCAAAACTAATTTGGGACCTTGCGAAGATACATTGTTTGTGGAGGGTAGCTAGCTCCGATAGTAGCAGAGCCGACCTGTATCTTCCTGCCAACCCATACCCATCAGGCAACAGGCTGCTAGTCTTGAAATGCGCCTTGGCTGTTATCTACTTTCTGAATTGATACTTAGCATCTTAGAATCGGAGGCTATATCTTTCTGCGCTTGCCTTACATGTATCACCTGTCGGTGCTGAGCTGCAGCCATTGTAGTCGTTGCGGGATCGTCGCCAAACTTCGTAGTTGCCCCGTGCTAGGTTCTTGAATGCGTCATCCGCTGTCATGCACTTTGTCTGCATGCATGGTCCAAGATCATCCGTTGTGTTTACACGGAGGGGTACCTGGCCCTCGCTGCAAGGCCCTGATGTGGATGCGCAAAGCCTCCAGCAGTTGCCGCCAAAGAAGGACTTGTCCTTCCACACCTCGCAGGGTAGAGTGCAACAAACAAGGCATTCCGCATTGCAACCGCGGCTTCCACAAGCTTCACACCTTATTCTGGATCACGATAGTCTGGCAAACATGCCGTCCCACGCCGATGTAACCCTCGTTGCACTGATAATCACATTCATCTCCCAGTGCTCTCGCTACACACTCGTTCCCGGGCCCTCTGTTGGAGAATGGGATTTGCTGACCTGCTAAACAAACGGAAACTGGCGCTGGTGGTGGTGCAGGCTGCGTGGTCGAGTTGGCTGGTGCAGGAGGTGGTGTAGTAGACGCGGTCAGCGCTGTGGTGGTGGAATTGGTTGCCGGAGGCAGTGTGGTAGGGTTGGCTGGCAGGGGCGCCGGCGTGGTAGAATCGGCTGGGGCCGGCGTCGTGGTGTCCGGTAAAGTTGTGGTTGGCAGCGGGATATCCGGTGGCACTCCGGAAGCTGCCACCTTTGAGCCGTTCGAAGTGTTTTGCACCTCTCAGAGCAAGGAACATCAGATCATATTCCGGCCAACTGCTGCAGTTACACAAAGCTCAGTGAAGCCTTGAGGACTCGCTGTTGAAGGGCGCTGAGAAGGCAGTCTTCGTCCCCAGGCTCTGGGAGGCAGTCGTCATCACCTCAAGGCGACAGGAGTTGCATTTAAGATGTTTACCATGAGATTGAACAACCACGGCGGTGCAGCTCACAGAAGCAGAAGTTGAGTAGTGTAAGCTGATGAGCTGCAGCAAAGCTTGAGCGCACAATACAAGAGACCATGCGTCCGTTCTGGCGATCTCCGCTGCGCCCTTTCAAAAAAAGTTCAATGCAGGCATGTCGCTCGCCAAAGCTGGCGTAAGTGAGTCCTGCGTCTCCAGAATGTACAGTGGCAAATAGCTGTGTGAAAAACCACGCAAAAGCTCAATCCTGTTCACCTGAAGACTAACCACTGCAGCTACAGCCCACTAGCTACAGCCGCTGGGTTTCACTCAAGCAAGGCCTTCCAAAAACTTTCAGCGTCCGCTTTCTAGACTCCAGGGGACCCTAGAAGCATTTGCGTTGAACAGCTTTGATTCAGTTGGATACATGGCTATACCTACTGTAGCTAGCCCCCACACCTCCTGCGCGGCGCAGCAGACAATTGTCGCGAGGACAACGCCCGCGAGTCTCATCATACCTGTCTCCTGTCGCGGCCGTGCCGGACACACTTTCGCTTGATGTTGCTGGTAACTGCCTGCTGAAAATTTCATATGCGTGCCTGCGTCCTCTCCCAGATCTGCCGCTCTATCACCGAGGGGCATCTATCGCTTTGGGCATGATCAAAAGTCTGAGCCACGCACAAAAACCGCACGCTCGAGCTCAAGCTACCAAAGCCAGCTAGGGAACAAACAGCACAGAATGTCTTCATACCTTCTCCACGGGCTGGGAGATATGAAACTGGAAGCCAACTGTAGACCATCACACAGCACATAACTCCAGCTCCAGGCTAGACGTGTCCCCTGCAGTGTCAAGATTGTCTGCATGTACTTCACATGCGTTCATCACTGCAGCTCAATATGCCTTCAGAAATTCAACCTACTGCAGGCCCCAAACTCCTGAGCAAGCAGGCGTGGCTTGAAGGCAGCTTCAGGCAAAGATACCGAGTAGGCAACCACTCTGTAGTCGACAGCTTTGCGGCTTCAGCATGTCGGTGTACATCTTTTTCACGTCGCACTAGATGATGTCAAAGCTTCTTGGCACGGTCTGCTTGGCAGAGCACCAACATGTTCCTCTTTTTGCTTGAGTCGCTTCTTGCATCTACTGCATCTATTAGTATTAAACCTCCGCACCGCATGGTGTTAGACTCCGCAACAGCACTTTGGATTTCTTTAAGCTGTCTCTAAGAGTCTGAAGAGCAGTGGAACTGTAAAAGAGATCTTAGTCCACACGTCCTAATGCTGCGATACTTGCGTAGCGCCCGTATCCAGCCCTAGTTGCTGCGTCAGCGACTGGGACACGCTGTCCACCTGCAAGGCTGGCACCGGTATTCCAAAGCCACTGCTGCTTAACCCAATAAATGTTGTTTTTATATACCCCACTACACTACTATAGTAGTTTCCATTTNNTTTTCTTTTCCCTCATCCCTATATATAACCCCAACACCCCCCCACCCCACCCCATCCCCCCATGTACCATATCATTATTCCTATTAAAACTACTGTAATTATTGTCCACTCCCTTGTGTCCATTCGCACGAGGCAGGAGGCCTCCGCTGAGTTCCAGGGCATGAGGAGCTGCAGATGGTCGCTGCGGTTCAGCCGAAGCACGAAGTCCTTTGTAAGCCCTGAAATACTAAAAAAGTAAACATAAGAATAATAATAGTAAAAAATAGTGATAGTAGTAATAATTGCAATAGCAAGTTATAACAATAATAGTAGTACTTTCAGAGCCTGTCTGATAATGCACGCACTTCTCCATGCCAGTTTTCTGCTTTTTTCGCCTACGTAAGCTTAGAGCTGGGCTAGGTACGAAAACTATATGCCCTATCCGCTTCCTCGCGGTGCGAGACGAAGATACCGCGACCGTTGGGCTCGGGAGCCTGGGAACATACCGGCCCTCTCGAAACAGTGGATGGCCGCTCTAAAGGGAAGAATGCAAACATCATACTGAAAGGGCTGATATCGACTCAGCGCAACGCCTCAAACAGGAGCCCCTGGTTGCTCAGCTTTGCACTCCAGTATTCCGGCATGCCTCCCCAAAACCCAACGCAGAAACAGACGATCATCAACAAATCAAGTTTGAGCGTATGGACGGCCAGCTCGGAATCCTGCGTTAGCTTGCGTGAGACAGATGGTTTCCCTGCGACTAAGAAAGATTGCGTGATCTGATGCAACAATTGTGGCTGTGGTGTTCGTGGTAGACTCAGTTCAAAGAGCGCAACACTTCCCCAGCCACCATGAAACAAACAGGACCTCCGTGAGAACAGCTTCAATCGGCCTAGATATCCCCAAGTATGTTCCTAGTCTGAGCCTGGGTCGCGGGCAGAAATCACACTTACAAAAAAAAAAAAAAAAAAAAGCGGCAGATTCGCACATCTTCTGCCTCCCGGCATCAGTGGCCAGCTCGTTGAGGAAGGTAACGGTAAGTACTGACCTCGCCGGGAGGGCGTGAAAGACCAGTGACAATGCTGACAGCCGCTCGCGAGTACAGTACCACCGTTCCGTTCCTAGCGCTTCGAAACCAAAACGACCGTAACTATCTTACTAGCCTCAATGAGAAACAAGCATGAATCACGGTTGCTGTCCTGGAACCAGCACGACGCTAAGTATGATGACTTATGATAGCCGTTGTCATGCAGACATCAATGAAGACACGGATCATTGATGCAAACAAAGGTGGCCAGAAAGGCTGTGCCTGCGAGGTTGCCCTCCAGCTGGATCAGTCCCTGCACCGCCCGTAAAAGAAGGCGCAGGCTACTTCAGACGACCACAACCACAACAACCACCA